CATGGTCCAGACTGGCACCTGAAGATGCCCAAGGTGAAAATGCCCAAGTTCAGCATGCCTGGCTTCAAAGGAGAGGGCCCTGAAGTGGATGTGAATCTTCAGAAGGCCAACATTGAAGTCTCAGGACCCAAAGTGGACATTGATGTTCCAGATGTGAATATTGAAGCTCCAGAAGGGAAACTGAAGGGTCCCAAGTTCAAGATGCCGAGCATGAATATACAGACACACAAAATCTCTATGCCTGATGTTGGGCTTAATCTGAAAGGACCTAAACTGAAAAGTGATGTAGATGTTTCTCTTCCGAAAGTAGAAGGAGATTTGAAAGGTCCTGAAGTTGATGTTAAAGTCCCTAAGATGGATGTGGATGTTGGTGATATTGATATTGAATGTCCAGAAGGGAAGCTGAAGGGCCCCAAGTTTAAGATGCCTGACATGCACTTCAAGGCCCCTAAGATCTCCATGCCTGATGTGGACTTACACTTGAAAGGCCCCAAAGTCAAAGGGGATATGGATGTGACTGTACCTAAGGTAGAAGGTGAAATGAAAGTTCCAGATGTGGATATCAAAGGCCCCAAAGTGGACATTAATGCCCCAGATGTGGATGTTCATGGGCCAGACTGGCACCTGAAGATGCCCAAGGTGAAAATGCCCAAGTTCAGCATGCCTGGCTTCAAAGGAGAGGGTCCAGATGTAGACGTGAATCTGCCAAAGGCTGACATTGATGTCTCAGGGCCTAAGGTGGACATTGATACTCCTGACTTAGATATTGAAGGACCAGAAGGAAAACTGAAAGGCTCCAAATTTAAGATGCCCAAGTTGAATATCAAGACTCCCAAGATCTCCATGCCAGATGTGGACTTGAATTTGAAGGGGCCCAAACTGAAAGGAGAGATAGATGCTTCTGTGCCAGAAATGGGAGCTGATCTCAGAGGTCCTCAAATTGATGTCAAAGGCCCTAGTATGGATGTGAAAGTGCCTGATGTTGATCTGGAATGTCCTGATGCAAAGTTGAAAGGCCCCAAGTTTAAGATGCCTGACATGCACTTCAAGGCTCCTAAAATCTCCATGCCTGATGTGGACTT